AGACTGTGTGCAAGCGTTACTTCTGGGGGGAGAAGCATGTACCCACCTATCCCTCTCCTCCCAATAAACACAGGAAATGTGAGGAGCTGTTCTGCCGCTCCCAGCAAGCTTCATTTTCTTCTCTTTCCCCCCTGCCTTTTTTTTTTTAACCATTAGAAGCCGGGAAGGCCAAGGTGCTTGATCACGCCGTCCTGCTGCAGGTGATTAAAGAACAGCAAGTGCAGCAAAAGCAGCTACTAGACCAGCAGGCGAAACTGCTCGCTGTGATTGAAGAGCAGCATAAGGAAATGCACCAGCAGAGGCAGGAGGAGGGAGGTGATGAGAAGCCAAAGCAAGGTAAGGATATGGCTCGAAAACACCTGCCACTCTCTGGGGCTGGCACGTTGGCAGCTCTGAAGAACATGCAGGTGCACTGTGGAAAAGGAAAACTGCTGCTGGGCATTCCCTAAAAAAGAATTTTCATTTATTTTTCTGCAGCAGAAATACCCCAGGAGCCCGATCTGCCTCTTACAAAGAGCAACGAGGAAGAGGGCCGAGATGTTAAAGCAGATGTTGCTGCAAAGCACCTTCCTAAGGAGATATTGGACCCTCCTCAGCCAGGGCCTGGCAATCAGCCTGTTGACTTAGTGGAGCAACACCAAGGGAATGTAGATGGTCTGGAAGAGGCTGTGCACAGACCTAGAATGAAGTTTCCTGTTCAAGTCAGTGTAGCTGGGTCTAAAATTCCTGAGGCTCTTCCTAAGGGTGGGAAGGTCCCACAACACAAGGCGAACAAAGTCGTTAAAAACTCTCGAGAGAACTTAAGGGATCCACTTCATAGCGATGATTCACGACAAGCCAATGACATAGAACATGCAGTCCAGGGTGCAGGAAACCATCCAGAGAAGCCCGCAGCCAAGGAAGTGGGGGGAGGGCACGAAGCCAAAGCTGTGGGAGATAGCCAAGAGAAGAAGAGTGCCCTGGAAGCTGGAGAGGTGGTGGCAGGAGCAGTCACTGACACCCAGAGACAGCTGCCAAGGGCTGTCAAAGCTCAGGAGACAGCAGGGAAGGGTCCAGAACGAGTCTTTGGTGCGGACTCTAAAATCAAACCAGCAAATAAAGAGGAGCCCAAAGATCTGGAACGTCCATTGGACTCTTCAAATAAACTGCAAGTAGCAGAGAACGTGCAGCATAAACAGGAACGTCCGAGACCTGGAAATGACGACCAGGCCGATGGAGCTGGCAGCAAGCAGCAGCAGGCTTCCCAGGTCGATCAGGCCGGCAAAGTGGAGGCTAAGAAAGAAGTTCTCCGGGAAAAGGCAGTGGATATGGAGCAGGGTCCTCAGGGAAGCCACTTGAACAAGCAAAAGGTCCTGGATGAAAAACTTCTCAAAGATCCTGCTGGGAAGAATGCCTTTGAGAACGACGTTGCCTTAAAGCATGAGAAGGGAGCAGCCCCCCTTGCGGATCAGAAACCAGGCCAGGAGAACGTCAAACCAAACCGGGATCTGAAACTGCAGGCTGACTTGGACCTCCGGAGGAGGAGACGGGACCTGCCGCCTCGCCTGGAGGAGGAGACTGAGGCGAGGGAAGGTGTCATCATTGGTCTCAACCCTCTTCCGGATGTGAAAGTGAACGACCTCCGCAGCGCCCTGGAGACCAGATTAAACCAGGCAGCAGAAGGTGCCCAGCAGGTGGTTCACAGTCGGCAGATCAAACAAATGGCAGAGGAGGAGGTGTGATGAGACCCGGCCTTGCTCTATTGGTGGTGAAGCCGTTATCGCTCCTAATGTCTGCGGTATCCAACATTCCGCGTAGCAAGCGACCATTTGGACTCCAATTGCATACACGACTGCTGACAGTCTAACCCAGCAGCACTTCACTTGGACTCAGCCCCAACACTCGGGCTGATTCTGACCTCAGACTACTCTCTCCATGGAATTGGGGGCCGCCATGGCCCATCCATTTACTTCAATGTTAACGTCCTGCCCGTGTTTGTCATGGGGGTGACTGGAGAGTCAGTGACCCAGAAAGAGAAGCTCCGACTGCCCTCTGGCTTTCGAAGGTCCTCCCCATTCCCAAAGGGTCTGTGCTGTTTGGTTCATGTTGAATTGCCTTGTCCGTCCTGCCCCAATTTGCCCATTCAGTATTGAGGCACATCCCCAGGTTGCTCAAACTGTCTCCTTGCAAATGTTTCTCCAATAAGTGCATTGAGTTGCTTAGTCCAACTTATCTGGGCCTCGAGAGGGGGAGCTCGCACGGCTCCACTTCTCCTGGAATGCTGCGATCCGCATTGGAAATACGGCCGCTAGGACTGGGTTAGCCTATTGCTGGGGTCCGTTTGCCCAGTGGGAAGCCGTTCCGTCAGCTTTACGTGTGTTGGGCTGAAGTTTGTGCTAGGAATATCAGTGTAGTTAATGTCCGATGCTGCCTTAAACAAGCACAACGGCTACTGTTGTGCTGCTCCTTCCTCCCAGGGATCATTCAGTTGGCCACATACTAGTAATAATGAAGAGCTTTACCTTCTTCTCTTCCTTGGTGGTTACGTTGCAGATTGTGCTTTCAACGGGAGTATTCCTGCCCAAAGTACATGAAGGGGCTCGTGCTGGGAACTGCAGACTCCCTTCTTCCCCTCTCAAAACGGCTTGAGATTTCCAGCAAGAAGTAGCAGATATCAGGGAATGAAAGCGTATGATTTCAAGGGACAGTGTCATGGAGGGTTGGCTCAGAATCGTACCTACCTCTCTTCTCCCTTTGCAGAGTTCATGTTCTGTTTGGTATAGTTGTATCCCCCAGAGCAATTGTTCAACGTGTAATTAAATCCATTGAGGTCGGTAATCAAGACACTTGGGTAACGTATACATGAGCGGAGGAAGGAACCTCTTAAGAGAATTGGTTTGTTTCAAAAGTTGGGGATCAGTAGTAAATTTTAAAGTGTGGTAAATGAGACCTTGACTGCCAAATGTAAGAAAAAAATCCCCCAGCTTTCACTAGAATGATTGACATCCGCCCTACCAGGAGCCTGTCGACCTCAGCAGAGTCGGGGTTTGTCCGGAATCCTTCGGTAACTCCGCCTCATTTCGTTCATATCCAATCAACCTCCTGGAAGCGGGAACTATGTAACTGTTGTGATGGGGGCTGGTTACCAGGAGAAACACTAGGGGGGATGACTCTGCCTTCAGAGTAGAGAACTCTGAGCTCCTAAAAGGGAAGAACAGGATTGGGACTGGTCTTTAAAGTCGGCCAATTATTGAAGTGCTTACATCGCTGTGGCAGCTGAACATCTTCAGGAGGGGCGTTTGCATGCATCCTGAAGTGGCTGTTGTAGACGGGACTGCCATAGCTGGAGTCTTCTGGAGTTCCTCCATGACCCTGTCTCAAAGCACAATTAACCCGTATCTGGGACTCTTGTAACTTCTGCTCTGGGGCAGGAGGCCCTAGAACGGCCTCCGTGTGATTGTTAGCGTTTGTGGACGTCAGATGCAAGTAAGACACGTGCTTTCAGTGCAGCAGTCTCCTCTGCTCATGGCCAAATCTAAAGTCTGCCCCCGCTGCAAGAACTAGCCCTTTAAAGCTCTAAGGGAGCTCTGGGGGCGGGAACTAAATACTCCCTATGCACACCCGCCCTGCTTGCCCCTAACTTGTGTACAGGGATCTCCCTGGCCTCTGTCAGCTTCGTGCTGCGATCCTGCCTGGCACGGGGAGCCCTGTTTCTCTTACACCATGTGAGCAGCAGTTTAGGGGGACCACGTGCTGCTGTTGAGGTGCCTGCCGACCACAAAGGGACCAAAGATAATTCTGAAATTCCTCAGCACCTGGAATTGGCCAGTGTTGTGAATGAGACATTCCCAGCTGGGAAAGGCTGAGGAGTGGCCACGCCAGGCCAATCAATAAAATAAGTTAAAGCATTTTGAGCTGAACTCTTCTTGCTGTAACGAGCACCGTTAAGCCGTTCTCGGCCCTTGGGGGGCAGTTCCTGCTGTCCAGGATGGGACGTATCTGCATCCCTTCTGCCATTGCTGCAGCTAGTGGCTAGGCTCCTCCTGGCGGTGAGGGGAGGGGCTCCGTGTGCCCCCAACTGGGAGATTTCATGAAATGCCACTTTGAGTGTTTAGCTTCAGGGTGAGTGCAGTGTAAAGTGGGGCGCTCATGGCCCAAGCAGTGACCTGCTCTTATCGGAGTGCTTTTCATTAGCTAGCACCCCCCTCACCTCTATCAAGCTGCAGCGTGGATTTACTCATCCTTGTACCCAGCATTTCCTCCGTAGCCCTGTGCTTAACCCTCTAAACGTAACCAGTGTCCTTGCACTACTGCGAGGGCCCCGGCAGCCTTGAGGGTAACATGAGCCGCTAGATGAGGAGCTCTGCCATGGTTTGTAACCTTGGCCTGCCTATTTCTTCCCTCGTCTTAGGAGTTTCAGTGCTTAGGTTTTCAAAGCTGCAGTCTGAAAGCCTGTATTCACATGGGACGTGGAGGTTTAGCAGCAAGGTTCCCAGTTGTAGTGGGGCAGCTCTTTAGCGTACCATGGCTTTAGCTGAACTTAAGCATTAGTCACAAGATGGGCAGAGATACTGAAATCTCGTGAGCTAAAGCAGAACCCTCTCTCAAGTGCCCTATTCTGCATTTCTGCCCACCCTAACATTCCTTGGACCCTGTGGGAAGGGGAGATGGAATCCTAAATTCTCAGGAAAGCCACATGACCAAAGCTAGCTCTAGAACAATGGGGCCATCTGAGAGTAGGCTAAGTGTACTGCAGCAAACAAAGGGAGCGTAGCCACTCATTAGAATAGAAGCTTAGTTTTAGTGCAGTTTTTGCTACCCTTTCCAGACTGCATAGTTAAATTGTAGAATAAAGAGCAGGTCTTAAAACACTGACTCAGATTTTGGAGTTTTATTTAAAAAAAGTTTCCCAACATCTATTTACATGCATTGTTTGAAACAGCTGGGGGAGGAGGTTGCATGAAATAGAGTTGAGTATTCCATTATTCGGCTCCCATTTCCTTCTGATTTAATTAATTATGCAAATTCTTCTGTCCTGGAACTACCTGATTACAGCTGGACAGACACCAGCCAGGACTGTAAATCTAGATTCCAGTCCCCTGTATTGTTACTAATGCATTCACTTCATTGTCTTCTTTGCCTGTAAAAAGAAGTGAGTCAGATAAGCTAGGAGGAAGAGGATTGGTGTTTTCTGATTACAACATCCAGTTCCTGCTCTGTTGTGAGGACTTTGCCAGATAAGCTACCCACACTAACCAACAGAACCAGTCACCATGGCGGAGAAAACAGCCCCACTCTACCTCTGTACTTGTACTATCCCATGGTGTCAGAGTAGTTCAAACATTTGTTCATTCTCACAACTTCCTTGTGCTTGAGGGGCACTGTTATCCTGCAGCACAGACTGTAACTTGCTGAGTCATAGCTGACAACAGATTTCCTTATCCCAAGTGCAGAGCCTTAACCACAAGACTATCGCTACAGTGGTCATTTCTGACGTATTAGACTTCAGATGCCCTGGGCATGAGTCCTAGGTTTGAGAATTACTTCCCCAGACCCATGTTTTGCCTATGGTACTGCACCAAAGAGAGTACAAACATGATAGCACTGAACTCTCCAGGCCTGTCCCCCTCCAAGAACCATCCCGCAGAGTGGCCCCCGAGTTTTTGTGTGTACAGATATTCCCTGCAACATACTGCCTGGGTGAAGCACGCCTTCAGGGCCTCAAACTCCTTCATGCACACGTCCTTCCGCAGCTCGGCACGGCCTGTGGTCGTCGCAGCTACACACTTTCCGTAGGCCGCTGCCTAAAATCACACGGCGCCATAGTAACATTCACACCCGGCCTTGTTCTCGCCGGGTCACCAACCCCAAGAGTTAGGACAGGCTGAGTCAGGCACCCTGCCCCCCCCCCCCAGCAGGACCTAGACAGGACAAGAGGGGGGCGCTGCCCGGGGTTCTCACCCCTAGTCACTCCCCATGCCTGGGGCGAGGGCACTGCCCGGGGTTTTCACCCCTAGTCACTCCCCATACCTGGGGCGGGGGCAGTCTGGGGCTCTCACCCCTAGACCTGGGGGCGGGGTCAGCCCATGGCTCCCGCCAGTGGTCACTCCCCAGGCCTGGGGGGGGGCTGCTGGCAGGGTGACCAGACAGCAAGTGTGACAAACCGGGACGGGGGTGGGGGGTAATAGGCGCTTATATAAGACAAAGCCCCAACGATCGGGCCTGTCCCGAGACAATCGGGGCATCCAGTCCCCTGGGCAGAGCGCCGCTGTGGCTCTCCCGGGCACGGGGCCGAGCGGCCGGCACTGGCTGGGGAGACCCCCCCACGCCCGGCCCCACCTGGTCCCGACATCCCGCCAGCAGCTCGGGGAAGCGCCGCAGCCGCTCCCGGGCTCGCAGCCAGACCCCCTGGCCTGACATCGCCGGGTCTCTACTCGCTGGGCGCCGCCATGATGGACCGGGCTCTGATAGGCTCGTCTCGCTGCTCGTCAAACCTCCTAGCACTCTCCCATTGGGTCCGGCTAAAGACTTCCCAGTGATGGCCTCTGAGAGGTGCAGCGTCCTGTCCATCAGACCGCTGTAGGCTCTGGATTGGTTCACCGTCCCATCCCGCCCTTTCACGGCCCTGTCCTACCCAGACGAGGCTTTGGGTTGGTTACGAATAACGCCCACCTTCTTTGTTCCTTCTGATTGGTCCCTTTTCTTACACGGGGGCTTCTGATTGGACGAGCTGCCGGTTATTTACTGCCCTTCTCTCATGCCCGCGTCAGTGCCGTCAGTGGTGACGGTCGCTTCTCCTTGGGGCCCCACCCTCCTCCGGTGCTGATTGGCTGAGCTGGGAGGAAGTCGCACTCTAATTGGCGGGCAGGAGTTCCGGGGGGCGAGAAGACGAGGCCGGGTTCAGGTGGGGCAGGGCGGGATGAGTGCAGAGAGAATCATGGCGGCGCCGCTGCGGGACCGGTTGGGCTTCCTGAGCCGGGTACGGGGGCCGGGCCGGGCCGGGCCGGGGGTTGTTCGTCCCGCCTGGGGGGCCGGCCTCAGCCGCCTGATGGGACAACGGGGCTGGGGCTGGGCCGGGGAAGAATCGCGCGGGGGGGGCCCCTGAGAGGTGTCACCACGCTCGCGTGACGTCACCGCGCCCCGACGCCTCTGTGACGTCGTTGTCACAATGAGGTTCTGTGACGTCACCGCCC